CCGGGGACTTACGGCAGCCCAGCTCCAGGTTGAGCTGTTGTTCAGCATCTTAGCTGTGGAGGGCAGTGTCACTGGCCCACATATGTGGGATCCGAACCGGGGCCCTCTGGCATCCCAAGCCAGTTCTTAACCAACGTGCCACTTGGCCGGCCCTATAACTTTTTATTATATGATAAATTTCCCTTAACTTTGGGAATCCCACCTTCTCCTTTCTGGGAAACCCTGTAAGAACTCTGATGTCCTCCTGTATGTAATAGCTGTTCAATAATTATACTATGATAATATTCCTTTTAGAGTGGTGGTACAGAATGAGAGGCGAGAAGAGTGGACTTCACTCCTTGTGACCATTAAAAAACTTTTCATCCAGTATCCAGTGTTGGTGCGACTGGAACAGGCAGGTACTGCATCCATGTGATAGAAGGTGCAGTAGGGAAAGGTGTAGGATGAAGGCTGGGAGATAGAGAGGTTCATGCTTGTATCTCTTCCAGCACCGTGTGTAGTTAGTCTCTGCTCCCGGTCAGGTTTCTTCTATTTCTGGTTGGGTCCAGTTGTTCATTATGTATGCAGTAAATTCAGTAATGTCCCTCCCTCAGGGTGGGGAGCCCTATGGAGCCAGGCACCTTCCACTTGTTTTTTAGGAGTTCATCTTTCATGAGATATTTTTCTTCTCTCATGTCTTTTGCTTCAGAGGGCTTTCCTCAAGGAGACAATTCTACCTCAGCACAAGGAAACTACCTAGAGGCCATCAATCTGTCATTCAATGGTAAGGACGCCAGCCACAGTGAGTAGGCATCTTGCTTACCTCATGGCCATGAGCTTCTCTTTACTCATGTCCAAAGACCCAGATGATGTCCCCACCTCTCTACCCCCCAAATTAATTGCAAGCAATAACTTCTGATGGTCAACATTTAGCCCTTAGGTCTTCTGTTGGGAAATTAACTTGCTGTTCTCATCTGCTTCTCATGGTAACCTAAGAGTAAAGAGCTGGAGGGATCTTCCTTGGGCTCTTTGTTTTACTAAACTATGTTCTTATTATTTTTCATCCCATCCCTCAACTGTTTCTAGGTAATTTTTTTTTCAATTTGCTTTTACTTATTTTTTTGAATTACAAAGGTACCCACGTGCCTAGAATTCAAGTAATGGAGAACTGTATCAAGTAAAAATGAATATCTCCTCCCTTCCTCTACTGTCAGAATCTTTCCAAGAGGGACGATTGTTAAGAGTGTGGTGTGATTTCTTCCAAATGTTTGTCCCTGCATTTATGTGTTAGCTGAGATACTTTGTTTGCAAACAACAGGAATCTACTGAATTCAGTTAAACAAAAAGGAAAATTTACTCTAAGGATGCAGGGTCTCAGTGGGTCAACCAGGAAAGGTTTGATCACCATACCAAAGAAGGTGGGGACAAGGATGGCCCTGGGGACCGCAGCTGCAGGAATTTCTAGAGCTGTGTTCATCTCCCAGCAGCCCCGTCTCTGCTCTCTGTTCAGAATTCCACGTTCCTGGCAGAGAGTGTCTGATCGGCCCAACTCCGGGTAGGCGTCTGTCCTGCACTGGCCAGTGCATGGAAGTGATGATGTGTCACCTTCCTGTGTGTCTGTACTCAGGTGCTAAGGATTCTAGAGCACGGGGTCTTTTATTAGAAAATATTTTTTTCATATTTGAATGTCACTGATTTTCCAAAGTAAGAATTACACTGGCCAAAAATAAAAATTAACTTGCCATATTTACAAGGTCATCAAAGATGCTGGTACACCTCTCTTAAATATTGCCTGAAATTAATATTTGATTCTTATAAGTTTCAACACAGACTCATTTATGGATGGAAATTAATGACATGAGATTTGAGCATTTGAAGCTGCACAAGGCAAGTATCAATGGAGAGGGATTAACAAAGGTGACAGTGACAGTCTTGTGTTCAAGCAGTTCTTAATGTAGAGGAGGAAAGACACACATACACACGACTAACTAGAAAACAGGTTAGAATGTGGCAATTGCTGTAATAGAAATGTAGATAAAATCCTCTGAGAGCACGGAGATGCTTGCCAGTGGCTGGTTTCTGAAAAACTGTAACATCTTCATTGGAGGACTTTATGCTTTTGTTCAAGTGTTTGACAAGCACTACATCAACCGCAACTTTGACCGAACTGGGCAGATGTCCGTGGTGATCACACCTGGGGTGGGTGTGTTCGAAGTAGACCGTCTACTCATGATCTTGACCAAGCAGCGGATGATAGATAATGGTAATGCTCCCTAATTCATGCTGTCTCTGAGTGTTTATAGCCTGACTTATTCTTAGAACTGTGAGCTTTCCCTGGCTCTGTGCATGGAGATATGGGGATGTGAGTAATGTTAGGTGACAAAAAGAGTTCCATGGTCAAATCAGTTTGGGAAATGCTGGATTGTTATACAGTTAGGCCCATTCCTTAATTGCAGGTTTTAATATGTTAGTATATCTTGATTATCTCTAAAGGGCATAATTGGTACTCTGAGTTTCCCAAACATATTTGACGCTGGAGAACCCGTGTGTGTGTGTGTGTGTGTGTGTGTGTGTGTGTGTGTGTGTGTGTGTGTGTGTGTGTGGCGGGGGGAAAGTTGTTTTAAGGAATCAGTGTCCATCAGACCATCTTGGGAAGTACCATCAAATCATCTAGTCCAGCCCTCCTTCCATGATGTGCCATGCTTCCCCAACTCGCACCCCCAGGCCTCCATTTAATTTGTGTTTCAACAACAAATGGAATTGGGAAAGTAAATCCTGATTGCCAATAAAGAAGCTCTGTTTAGTGATGTGGACTGTTTTACTTTTTACTGAGATGGCAAGGTTCCTTTTCTTTTCTGGCCTTGACACTTCAGTAATGGAGGCCTGGTTGTCTTTTTTTGACAAATCATGATCTGCAAGGCAGTCAGAGGCTGATTGTCAAGCACTGAATAGTGGCAGGTGTGACAGGACTTGGTAAAGAGAAAATACAAAACACATCTATTTACTTTTTTGCTGCCTAGGCAACACTGAGGAGGGTATAAATCATAGGATGGTGGTAGTAAGTTGGCCTTGCCTCAGACCCTGACACAATGAAATAACATCAAAAATAGAAGGAGCACTTATCTCTGGCTCTCCCTTCCTACCCACCCCCAAACTATTTTTGTCTTTTTTAGGAATTGGTGTTGACTTGGTGTGCATGGGGGAGCAGCCGTTACATGCTGTCCCATTGTTCAAGGTAATTAGATTTTGGATTGCTTACTAAAGACCTGCTTCTAGCACCAGGGTGATATTGAGAATAGTAAAAAGCAGTAGGAGCAGTCCCACATCCTACTTGTTTTTTTGTTTGTTTTCATTTTTATTTTTTCTTTAATTATTTTGTATTAGAGTTCTTTAATTGCAAACTGAAATAGAAAAAACACATAGCATAACATAACAACATAGCATGACATACAAGGTGTGATCAAACAATGTGGTGATTGTTTAAATTTTAAAAAATTTATTACAATAAAAGACACATTGCCATTAATCCCCCCAAGATACTCCCCTTTGCTTCGAACACACTCCATCGTTCTTGCCACTTTCTGAAGCAGTTCTGGAAGTCCTCTTTTGTGTCTTTAGTTGCGCTGTCGTGGCTGCCTCGATGTCCTTAATGGATTCAAAACGTTTACCTTTCATGGTTATTTTGACTTTAGGGACGAGCCAGAAGTTGCACGGTGCCAGGCCTGGTGAATAAGGTGGATGAGGACACACCGTAATGTTTTTATTTGACAGAAATTGCCATATACCAGAAGTGATGTGTGACATGGAGTGTTGTCATGGTGGAGGATGATTTACGGCACACTTTAAAACACACCTTCTTGGGCTGGCCGAGTGGTGCAATGGTTAACAACTGGCTTGGGACGCCAGAGGACTCTGGTTCGGATCCCACATATGAGGGCCAGTGACACTGCCCTCCACAGCTAAGATGCTGAACAACAGCTCACCCTGGAGCTGGGCTGCGTAGGCTGCAACCCCTGTGGCAGTGGGTTGCCATGGGTTTAAAAAAATAATAAAATAAAAAAAATAAAATAAAACACACCTTCTCTCAACCTTAGCTCATGCCCAACTGACTGCACTGAACAAATTGAAACTTGTTACACATTGTTACTAAGGTTTGATGTGCCGCTCCCGTTATTGAAGACCCTTGCCTGTCTGTTTGATGGCACTTGGCAGCAGCACTCACTGTATTTTGTGATCACAATGAAAAGGCTCCATGTCACACATCACTTCTGGTACGGCAATTTTTTTCTTTTCTTTTCTTTTTTTTTTATCGGGGATAAGGAATTATTTATTGGGCACCTATAGGATGTTGCACCCTCTGGGCAGCCCAGCCCTGGATGGAAGCTCAGGAGGACAGGCACAGTAAAGACCAAAAGATAGCAGGGCTATAAATGGGAACCTGGGGATTGGCTCAGTGAACTAGGCTTGCTGACCCAGAGGTATTCATACGAAAAAAATTGCAAAATGCATTCAGGTGGGGCTTTCCTAGTGCAGAACGATAATCCTATTGGCTGCCTGTGGTGCTTCCCAGGCCCTGACTGAGCTCAGCCCCTTGGCTCGCTGCATATTAACCCTGGAGTTTACCAAGATTTCAGTAGCTCAGGCCACGGAGAGAAAGGTGTTGTGAGAAAAGGGACAAGGGACACAGACTTTCTGAAGGGCTTTTCCTTGTTGCCTAGAATAGTTAGGATGCCTGAGGGTCAGGCAACTTAATGTCCCCTGCCAGCAAGAGAAAACTACTATCTAGTGGCTAATGAGGCAAGACAAGGACAGGAACAGCAGAACCCGACATGTCTGTGCTGCACCAGGAGGAAACAACACACCAAAGGAGAGGGGGCTGCTGCTGAGGCAGAGGAACCGTACCAGGGTGCCCATTCTGTGCATGGACCAGTTGAGAGGAAGGCCTCCCTCACCAACTTGTCAGGAGTGATAGTAAAAGGAAAGCTCCCGTGATGTAAGCCAGACTAAGCAGAGGCTATGTGTGTTCTCTTTACCACTATGTCTGCAGTCCTAAAACACCATAGATGCTCAGAAAATATTTGTGTCCAGAGGGAGAAACAAATGAAGTAGGAAACTACAGTTAGAAAATCTGCAAGTGAAGCATGGGCCATTTCTTACTTCTCTCTATTTGGCATGACCTGGATTCCAGGCCTTTCTGAGTATGTGACTTTGGACAAGTTACAATTTCTCAGAACTTAGTGTTTCATTCTGTTTTGTTTTTTCTTCTGTATTACTTCTTCATAGAGTTCCTGGTTTGTGTAGTTACTCTTTATGTTTGTTAGCTTTGAACCCCAGATTAGGGAAGCTTCTTTAAGCCAAGCAGTGTCTTTTGCTTCTGTTTGTTTCCCATGCACCTTCCATAGTACATTGCTCATAGTACATTGCTCGAGCGAGTCGGTTTGCCGGCTCCGCTGGTTCTCCAGCTGCCCTCAGCCTCACCGAGTTGAGCAAAGAGTCCTCACTATTTTCTACTTCCAGCTATTGTAGAACTCCTCTTCCTGGCAAAGTAACTCTGGGGTGGTGAGCACGGTGTGGGGCCGGAGGGTCTCTCCCCCAACTGGAGAAGCCTCCCCACCGCTGAGGTGTCCCTCACAGTGTTTGCCCTCTCTCTTCTCCTCCCCTCCTACCAGACTCGACGTGGCCTCCTCTTTAAGTCCTTCGTTTAGAGGTTCTGCTCATCTAGTGTCCAGGGAACTTCCGAGGTTGAATGTTGTATAAATTATTTGTAATTTTGGTGTGATCCTGGGAGGCAGTCGGCACAGCGTCTGTCTATTCCGCCATCTTACCGGAAGTCCTGGTATGGCGATTTCTGTTAGATAAAAACATTACAGTGTGACCTCATCCACCTTACTCACCATATCTGGCACCGTACGACTTCTGGCTCTTCCCCAAAGTCGAAATGACCATGAAAGGTAAACGTTTTGAATCCATTCAGGACATCGAGACAGCCACGACAGTGCAATTAAAGATACTCATGAAAGAGGATTTCCAGAACTGCTTCAGAAAGTGACAAGAACGATGCAATAAGTGTGTTCGAAGAGAGGGGGAATATTTTGAGGGGTATTAATGGCAATGTGTTCTACTGTAATAATTTTTTTTATTTAAACATTCACCGTATGTTTAGATCACACCTCACATATATGGTCTCCACAGTAACTTTTTTTTTGACATTCAGTTTTGTATTAGTTTCAGGTGTGCAGTGTACTGGTTAGACATTTATATAATTTAAGAAGTGATTCCTTTCACTAGTCTAGTACCTACCTGGCACTATACATAGTTATACCATATTATTGACTATATTCCCTATGCTTTACATCCACATGTCTATCTTTAACTACCAATTTGTACCTTTTAATCCCTTCACCTAATTCACCTAGCTTTCAAACCCCCCTCCCATCCATCACCCGATAAATCTAGTACCCATCTGACACCATACATAGTTATTACAATATTATTGACTATATTCATTATACTATACCCTACATCCCCATGACTACTTTAATAACAAGCAATTTGTACTTCTTAATCCTTCTTTATCACCCAGTCCCCCTAACCCTCTCCCACCTGGCATCCATCAAAATGTTCTCTGTATCTATGAGTTTGTTCCTGGTTTCCTTTTTTGTTTATTTTGTTCTTTAGATTGTACGTATAAGTGAGATCATATGGTATTTGTCTTTCTCTGTCTGACTTATTTCACTTAGCATAATACCCTCTACGTCGATCCACGTTGCTGCACTACTTATATTTTAGCTGATCTGTGCCTGGCTTTTTCCCTTTCAGCTGCATAATAGGAGTGCGCCTCGTGATTCTTGTCTGGGTGATGACTATAATATTCCTCACTGGATAAACCACAGGTGGGTGTGATCTTGACTCATAGTAGATGATAAGAATTTCGAGTAACTTTCTTGCCATTTTCTCTTCATATCTATTCATTTTTACTATCAAATCTTTTGTCAATAAAATGTAGAAACCGAAGTTCCAACATTTGCTTGAAGAAGCTTCTCTACATATAATGCAGTAGCAGTAGCATGAGAAGAGTCTATGATAAAAAATAAAAACAAATTTTGAAGGACTTATTTTCACTACTATCCTGAACTCTTACTCTTCCCCACTCCCACAGACTATTATCAGACTAACATTGTGCCTGGCTTCCTCCATTTGTAGAAAAATTCCCATGCCTCTTCTTCACATGGGACAAGGCCTCAGTGTTCCTGCTGACTCTAGCTCAAGGATGGTGTCCTCATCCCTCTGCCAGTGCCAGTGCCTTATGCCTGTCCTCATCTTTTTGAACAACTGCAATAATCTTACTCATGTGTCTATTTCTAGTCTCTGTCTTTCAGTCCATCCTGTAGACCAGGGTTTCTCAACCTTGACACTACTGACATTTTGGCCAGACCATTCTTTGTTGTGGGGGCTGTCCTGTGCACTGTAGGATGTAGAGCAGCATTCTTGGTCTCTACCCACCAGATACCAACAGCACACGCTCCCAGTTGTGACAACTAAAAATGTTTGCAGAAACAGTGGCTAAGTGAATTTTCCTATCAGAAAGTCTGGAGGAAGTTAAAGTATTTCTTGGAAGCACTGATGGTAGAATTCATACCTCTGGAAACTAATTATATAAGAACTATTGGGTCTTCGGAAAAGTCATGACGTATTTTGTCTATTTTTTTCAAAGGTCATTTATTTATATAAAGAACAAAGATCAGTCAATGATATATTGCCCATTTTGTTCGATAACCTTTTGCCATCTTTCAGGGAGCTTCATAATTCCTCGTTCATAGAAGGACCTGTCTTTATTTGCAAAAAAACTGAACAAGGTGCTGATTTACAGCCTTATTTGAATTGAACATTATACCATGCAAAGAGTTTTGAAGAGAGTGAAACAAGTGGAAGTCTGATGGCACAAGGTCAGGCGAGTATGGTGAGTGTGGCAACATATCCCATCCAAGCTCCAATTTTTTTTTTTTTTTTTTCTAAGCTGAGCCATCCTGCCACCTGTTGGCAGCTCAGCTCAGGCTAGGCATCCAACCGCTGTTGCTTAGAGCTTGTACTCTTGAGCAAGCTCTTAACCACCTGAGCCACTCGACCGGCCCGAAGCTCCACTCATTTGTGACGGGTGATCAGACTTGTGTGTGGTCTCGCATTGTCGTGATGGAACACAACTTCTTTACAATTAACAAGCTCTGGACGTTTCTGGATGATGGATTCGTTCAAACTGTCCAATTGCCGACAGTACACATTCAAATTGATTGTTTGGTTCCTTGGTAGGAGCTCGAAAAACACGACACCTTTAAAATCTCACCACACTGAGAGAGCATAACCTTCATCTGATGAATTGTCTGCTTTCGTCATTTGAGGCGAATCATCACGTCAGGATCCAGACCATTTGTGCACTGCATTGTTGTAAACAATCCACTTCTCATCACCAGTTATCAGTCGCTTCAAAAAAGGATCGTTTTCCTTACGTTTAATGAGCATATTGCAGATGTTTATACACGCCATCAAATGAACTCCTTTGAGTTCATGCGGAACCCAAATATCAAGCTTGTTTACGTATCCCAGCTTCTTCAGGTGGTTGTGAATGCTTAAATGATGGATGTTCAGAGTTTCTGAAATCTCTCGTGTCATGTAACATGGGTTTGACTCCATCACTGCCTTTATTTTGTCGTCATCAACCTCGGTGGGCCTCCCTGACCGCGGAGCGTTGTTGAGATAAAAATCATCAGCATGGAATTTCGTGAACCATCGTTGGCACTGATGTTCTTGTAGAGCATTGTCACCTTAAACTTTATGCAACTTTTCACAAGCTTGATGCACGTTTTTCCCTTTATGGAAGTAAAACAGTAAAATACGGCAAAAATGCAGTTTGATCTTCCATCTTCAACTTGTAAAATCTCCAAAACTCAACCGAATTGCTCAATTTTTTTTTTTTTAGAATGAAGCTAGAACTGTCAGCTGTCAAATGACATAGCAATAACATAGCTGCAAATGACTCTAGTACTTCCAAAAATGAACTAGTGCCATCTGTTGCAAACATGCATCATGACTTTTCCAAAGACCCAATAGATGTCTTCAAATAAACCTGCCAAAAGTGAAAAGACTTGGACAGTTACTTCTTTTTAATGTTTTATGATTTTTTTAAAAATCATAAAACATTATGAAGAATGCAAGTGAAACGATTGGATCTGGGGGAGGGAAATAATTTAGACTAAAAAAAAATTTTTTTTTTTTAAAAGATTTTTATTGGGGAATTGGGGGATGGGAACAGCACTTGGGGAATTGGGGGAAGGGGAACAGACAAGTTGCTGTCCTTTTGTTCTTCAGTCTAGTTGTGGAGGACATTACTTCACTGGCCCAAGCTGGCACCATCATTGCACTCTTCCTGGGCGAGGCAGATCAATCGCCGGCTTCTGGATGGCCGCTCACGGTGGCTGCTGGCCGCTCCCACTGGCTGCTGGCTACACACGGTAGCCCATGACAACCCACTGTAGCAGGGGCTGCCGCCTAGCCGTCGCCGGCAACTCACGGCAGCCCAGCTCCAGGTCGAGCCGCTGCCCAGCATCTTAGCTGTAGAGGACAGTGTCACTGGCCCTCATATGTGGGATCTGAACCGGGGCCCTCTGGCGTCCCAAGCCAGCTCTTAACCAACGCGCCACTTGGCAGCCCAAAAAAAAAAAAAAATTTTTTTTTTTTTTTAATGTCCGCAGACACTGCCACATGTCCCCTTGGTGGCAATATCTCCTACTCGCCCATTGAGAATCACTTCTTTAGAGCAGACCTTTTATTCTTAAAAAATTTTTTTTCTTAAGCAACAGGGCCTTTTCTTCAAGTAAAAGTTTTACTTGCAACTAAGTATATAAAAGCAAAAAAGTATTAGTATTCTTCTGTGTCCTCACACAGCAGGCCCTTATGTAGCACCAGGGAACCCTGGGAGTGTTGGGACCAGCATCTGTCACCCACTGCTAATACCTGGTTGCCGGAGTCATTTTTGTAAAAACCAAATCCGATGGCTCTTTTCCTCTGATGTCTCATGCCAGCTTGATAAAGACTTAAGTGTTTGACATCTGAGGCCCTCTCTCCCACAACTTGCTCTCTTTCATTCTGTGTGGCAGACACTCGCATCTTACCCTTGCTTCTGAGTCTTTCTACCTAGAAGGGCCTCTTCATCTCTCCTTTCCATTTCAAATGCCTATTTATCTTCTAACAAACAGCCCCAACATTTCTCTTCTGTGCGTTCTTCCTGTGCTGCCCTGATGGCCAACAGCCACTTACTTTTTAGTTCTTCCAGAACACTCTACCCTTCTCTGGGTTCTCTAGGTGGTGCTTCTTAAGACAGAACTCATAAGGGGCAGAAGACCACTTGGCTCATGCCTCAAGCTCAACAGAATCTTCACTTTTGTTCCTATTTATTATAGTTGCAAGTCTTTGCCGGAGACCAGCTGGAAAATTCATCACAAATGTTGATTTCAGCCTGTGATATTTTCTTTATCTTTGTTATGGGCCACATTGCCCTTGCTGGTTAGTTGTAATTATTCATAGGTGAAGGACTAGTTTCATGAGCAAGGAATAGTCATTTGGCCAGCTCATAAGGGTAGAGTGATCGCACTGTAATTATCCTGTTCTGAGTATGGCCTCGCTCTTCTCAGGGAGCCCAGTGAGATACTCTCTGGCTGGTCCTCCATGTTATTCCTTTACATATACTGGTGTGCCAAAAAACTGTATACACATGACTTGTATTCTTCTTTTGTTATCGGTATATATTGAATATGTCAATTTTAATACAGTTTTTTCCTTTCTTAAAATGTGTATACATTTTTTTGGCACCCTCTGTATATACACGTATATGTGGCTATTTAATGATGCCCAATTTTGTACGTTGTCATTGTATTGCCTGACAAAGTTACTTTAGAAAAAGTGACTGCTTCATAATAAAATGCCTTCAGAAACTTCCTGAAAGAAAATTCTGTTTATGTTACTGTTATTTTAAAAGCTTGGTTCAGGTAAAATAGGAATTTCCCCCCCCCCCGCAGCTGAGCCATCCTGACACCTGTTGGCAGCTCAGCGGCTGCTCAGCTCAGGCCAGGACTCGAACCGCTGTTGCCCAGAGCTCGCACTCTTGAGCAAGCTCTTAACCAACTGAGCCACTCGGCCGGCCCTAAAATAGGAATATTTTGAATTTATTTCTTTTTCACTTCAGAGACAAATGTATCTTCTTTTTTTTGGTCAGCCCTCTAATTATTTTTTGGATTTTTTATCTTAGATAGACAATCAGATTCTTTTGCTAATAAGAATATAGCTACTGTTTAATTATATACCATATTTCATAGTTTTAAGTTTAGTTTAGGAAATAATTAAGGGAAAAAGTAGCTATAGCACACACAAAATTGCATATGAATTTAAGTTTTGCAATTTCTTCAAATTTTATTTTATTATAATTTGAAAATTTCCTGATTTGTCACTTTAATTTTTATCCTAAATTGGCTCTCTGGTGCCAATTAAGATGGAGGATAGATCCACAGGTGAGACTGAGGATCTGAGATCTGGGAAGGCCCGAGGCCTGTTTTTCACATCTCATTGTGAGCATTGTTTGCTTGAGCTGCTTGGGGCTGCAAACAAGAGGACTTGGGGACGGGAACAAGAGGACTTGTGGCCTGAGATGGACAGCTGCTCACAGGGGCCATTGTTCTCATTCTGTCAGCAAAGCCTCTTCAGAAGCGGACAAAATGCTCCCCCTGTAGTAAGGCCAGAGACCCTAGTAAGCATAATTAAATTGTCTTCAGTGGGAACTTATTACTCCCAAAATATTACTGGCTAATCATGAAAATTGATTCAAAAAATAAGTTAATACCAGATCCATAAGAATTATAAATCTGAGATTTTGGGGATATCACAGAATATAACTAGAATCTGTCTTAGAGATCAGAGAGAGCATCCAGACACATTGTACAGGTGAGGAGAACAAGTTCCAAACAGGGTAAGTGGCTACCCAAAGGTTGAATAGCAAGTTCACGGCAACACTACAGCTATTGATACGAACCATTTAAAATTATGATATTAGATGGTTTTTTACCTTCAAACACAGCAATTTTATATGGTTCGGGCTAATAGAAACCCATTTTTGTGGCTGATATCACTTTTCCACTCAGATCTTTTACAATTAATGTCTGGAAAGAGAGTAGCATCTTCTACCCGGAACTTTTCTTGGTAGCACTGTGAGAGGCCGAGTCCCAGGGGCTGGTTGGACTCCAGGTCTGATTGCAGGCAGTATTCTTATGTTCTTAGGCACTTAATGTGCCGCTAGGATTGCCCCACAGCCCAATAGCTGTCTATTAATACTGCCTTTTTTTTTTTTTCTTATGAGCAGAGTTATGATGGAAGGTAGGGATTGGTCAGTATTCAAAACATTTTTAGCACAAGATTAAAAAAAGAATACAGAGGGGCCAGCCAAGTGGCATGTTGGTTAAGAGCTGGCTTGGGACGCCAACTCTGAGCAATAGGGCCTGGGTTCGCATCCCACATGAGGGCCAGTGACACAGTCCTCTACCGCTAAGATGGTGAACAACAGCTCAACCTGGAGCTGGGCTGCCATGAGTCGCAGGTGACGGCGTAGGCTGCAGCCCCTGCTGCAGTGGGCTGCCATAAGCTACTGTGAGTGGCTGGCAGCTAGCGTGAGCGGCCGTCCAGAGGCCAGCAACCGATATGCCTCACCCAGGAAGAGCGCAATGATCACAATATCAACATGGGCCAGTGAAGTGATGTCCTCCACAACTAGACTGAAGAACAAAAGAACAGCAATTTGTCTGTTCCCCTCCCCCAATTCCCCAATAAAATCTTAAAAAAAAAAAAAGAATACAGAGAGAATAAGGAAAGAAAAGGCTGCATAGCCTCCATTCACTCATTCCTTCAACATACCCAAGGCAAGCCTGGGTCTCCAATTTTCTTGTGTTTGTCATGACTGCATTAAGATATGATTTTCAGAAGGATTTGGACTTGATGGTTTCTGCCATTGTTTCTCGGGTGCCACCTTTTTCTTTTCTTGCCTGGCTAGTTCTTGCTTAGTAAGTGCTGATCAATCAAGGAATGATAAGGACCTCCCTTGGGCCCAGCATCACGCCAAGTATCTAGGTGAAAAAGTATTGTGGTGTAAATAGATTTATCTCTGCCATAAGGAGGAGATTCAAATCCAGTTAGGAATCAGAACTAGCACGAAACAATTTATGGAGGGGGGGGGGGAGAATAGAACACAATTGAAAACACAATTAATTTAAAAAACATAATTCATGTTCTATAGTAATTACAAAAGAAATTAGAATTGAAGATCAATGAAGCCTGAGATAAAAGCATTCATGAGAGGGCTGATCCATGGCTGGGTATTCAACTGTTTGTTGAGGTTTAAAACGAAAGGGGTTTAGATTAATATCCTTGTTTGTTTCTTTTACAGTTTCTACACGTCCAAAAGCCAGCTCTTTTGTAACAGTTTTACCCCACGGATAAAACTGGCAGGAAAGAAGGTAGGTGTCACCAATCAGCAGAGCCTTCAGGGACTGTCACACACCCATGTGGTTATTTTGGTCCTGAGATCCTCCCTTGCCCTGCATGGTGATAAATGAATTTAAGAAATTGTCTTAGAACTTTATGATTTTCCACGTTAAATAACAAGGCAAGCCCCCAGACATAAGAAATACCTTTGGCAAAAATATGACAAAGAACTATTTTTAGTTCTTTAATAATAAAAGAACTACTTTTATTAGGATGTGATTGGTTTATTCAGACACTGAGACCTCCTTGATACTGATAGAGACAAACACATGGACACACGTTGCAGCAAAGTGGAAATACGATAAAAAGATCACAGGAGTTAAAGAATGGCAAATTCAAACAAGCATGGGGATTCGGTGTTTGCTTACCAAATAAATTTAAGACGTATTACTAATTGTATTAAATGTAGGAAAAAATTGGTGCTTGAGTACCTGGTTGGTGTCTGATACTTATGAAAAGCAGTTCAGTCATGTGTATCAGGAGCAGTGCCAACGGTCATGCTATTTGACCAGATAATTACATTTTTGGCCATGTGGCCTAAGGAAATAATTGAGGATATTAAATATGAATAGATCTTGGTCTAGTTTTATTCCTCATAGTGACAGGTTGAAAATAATAGGGAAATGGCTAAATAAACCATGAAATAAACATAAACTTGATGGGAAATATTTGCAGCCAATAGAAATGCTACTCTTAAGAATCTGAAAAAAAGATAAAAAGAATCTGAAAAAGCCTTTTTAATGTAATATGAATAGTAAAACAGGCTGTTATGTATGTAGGCCCCACACTAGGGTGCTGTCATCCATCTGCCTATTTCTAGCAGAGCTGAAGTCTCTGCAAGTTGCCCATTGTGACTGTGTTATGTTAGTAGTTTCAGGGCCACTTCTTCCTCCTTTAGGGGGGATGGTTAATGTTACTCTTTTAAAAGGGAAAATATTAATTTGGAGGAATATGAAGACTCCTAAAATAGGCCATGTCAAATAGAGAAGTGCTAGGAGAATGGGACTCTGCCCAGAAAGGTTTTTCTCTTGCTTTCTGAAGTTTATACCATCACCACAACAACTCTTGGCAATGTGGGACCTGGAGGAACTTCTCTGCAACGTGATCATTTTGAAAGTTAAGATGTTATGAAAGGTTAAAGGGTCCTGAAAAAGATTTATTTTTTTAGGAAATGACAATTCTAGTTTTCCCTCTACCTTTGTACTCCATTTCAGCAAATTGGGCGATCTGTCGAGTGCTCAGTTCTTACAGGTATAGGCAGACAGGTGAGAGCACCATAGTGAAGCGAAGGAAGCATGCAGGGTTTGGAGTCAGGTGGAACCTAGTCATGGTAGGACATACACCAGTAGATTGACTGAGTCTGCAGACCTGGGTTTGAACTTGGCTCTGCCACCTAATAATTGTGTGACTTCGAGCAAGTAAGTCCCGTATTCTTTTTTTTTTTTTTAATTAAAGATTTTTATTGGGGAATTGGAGGAAGGGGAACAGACAAGTTGCTATCCTTTTGTTCTTCAGTCTAGTTGTGGAGGACGTTGCTACTGGCCCTCATATGTGGGATCTGAACCGGGGCCCTCTGGCGTCCCAAGCCAGCTCTTAACCAGCGCGCCATTCGGCCGGCCCTCCCGTATTCTT